GACCTAGATTCAATTTTGGTTGAATAGGTAAATATGTAATTATATTTAAATTGATTATAATTTAGTCAATATTATGTAGTAGCTTTTAAAATGAATAAGAACTTAGAAGTTAAATAATGCACATATTGTGTGGTTTGGAGGATGGTCAACTTACCGGTTTGATATATGTGCGAATTCTTCACTTTTAATTAGTTCTTTGAAGTTTTGTGCTTTCTTAGATGAACAAGTATTGTATGGATTATGATAATCTGAATTTGTCTATAGATCAACGTTTTTTTTAGGAGGATGATACAAGGAGACGAAACTGAGCATGATCTACTTTGGTGTTTGTAATCCAAGGTTTTGTTCCCATGGATTCTGATAACCATTTGAGGCAATCTTTTACGGTTTTTCTTGCGAGGAGTTTCTTGGATAGTGTCACTTTGTCCATTAGTGGGTTTCTACGAGATGGAATAATCATGTTCCCACCGAGTTGAGTATATTGATTTGGAGGATTGCGTTTTGGATCCCAACAAAGGTTATGCTCAATGAGAGAGTTATTGACTTATATTTTCATTTTCGCCCTTTGTCTTAGTATTGAGGATACCATGCACCATTTATTCATCTTTTGACCGTATAAGATGGTGAACAAAGAAGTTTATTAGTGTTTGTGGGATCTTTTTGCCCAACTACTTACTTTATTGATAGTATGTAGCTTTGATCGATAATTCTAACTTCAATACTAGGAAAAGGAAGTGCTTTAATGCGGTGATCATTACTGGTTTTTACGTATTATGGAGGTTTCACAACAATACTTTTCTTAGAACGCTCAAGCCGAAGAAAACATATAGTTTTGATGACATTGTTTCCCATTATTTCTTTAGATTTTTAATAGGCGTAAGAATGACAAAAGAAGTTTATTAGTGTTTGTAGGATCTTCTTTGCCCCACTACTTACTCTATTGATAGTATTTAGCTTTGATCGATAATTCTAACTTGAATGCTAGGAAAAGGAAGTGCTTTAATGTGGTGATCATTACTGGTTTTTACGTATTATGGAAGTTTCACAACAACACTTTTCTTAGAACACTCAAGCCGAAGAAAACATATAGTTTTGACGATATTGTTTCCCATTTTTTCTTTAGATTTTGAATAGGCATAAGAATGACAAGATGAACTGAGTTAGTTAGTTACACAACCCTTCTTTGCTTTCTGTTTCTTTATAAGCCGTTTTGTTGCTAGCTTCTTGCTCGTTGTGGTTTAATATAATCATGTTGTTCCAATAAATGTTTTTTTAAAACAACATGAAGAGTGGGTTGATCTTACTTCTTTGTTGTATTTTTTTTGTCTCTAACCAATAAGATATGTATACTTCGGGTTTAGATTCGTATGGTGATTATTCGATGCCTAATGTGCCACCGTTTTTAGATGACGCCACATTGATCACATGTTATACCACGACATGATGGAACAACGTAGTTTTGATATCATGTCTTGAAGGATGGAGTTAAATTGGACACCACGAGAGCAAACTTGATGGATAATAAAAGGGTTGACATTTAGTGTTTTGTATGTTTGGTAGTTCCCATGTGAAAATCTCGACCGTCTTATTTTCTAATATTTTCTTACCAAGTCATTATAGTTACATATTAATAGATGGTGAGATGTTCCGAATCCTTTTGGTAACTCCATAGAATACTTGCTCAAGTGACATGACCACTTAAACTACAATGCCATTTCAACATAAGGGTTTTGAATTTTGATGTAGTTGGTACTACAAATGTTTGGAATATTGGTCCTTTTTTGAATAACTCGATTTTTGGTACTTCAAAACCTAAGAAATCGGAGACTTAGATAAGATTGCCACCTAATCTCATTTCTTGATTGTCAATATGATAAAAAAAATGTAACCGGATAGGTTGGTTGCAAAATATGTATATTTCTATTACATTTGTAACTAGTTGTGAGATCCATGTATTTCATGGATTAATTTTAAAGAAAAAGTTAAATATAAATATTAAAATATTTGAGAACCTTGAATTTATAAGAAAATAAGAAAAATAATAAATTATTATAATGAAAATATTTTTTATCGTTTAAATGTAAGCATATAATTTAAATAAATAAAAGAAACTAATGGGTTTTAATTTTTGGAATTTTGAAATTAAAAGATAAGTTTACTAATGAAATAAATATCAATTTATTATTACATTTAATCCAATCATTCCATTAAAATGTTACGTGAAATTTAATAAAATAGCATGTGGAAAAAAATTTAGTCAAAATAACAAAAAAAAAACATTTAGCAAATTGAATGAAAATGTGACAAGTAGCAAAAAAATAACATTAGAGAGGATATTTTCATATGCTAACTCATTGTTAGTATTTTCTTACTAAAATTATGGTGTTTAAAAAAAAATCAATAGAGTTAATCTTAGCAACACATCCGACACTTGATGAAGATTTAGTACCACGATAGAAGAAAATCAACATATGTTTATCTATTTTATATAAATATAATATACACAACTTAAAATGACAATTACTATCGAATAAAATCTTATTGTACTTATGTAACTTATTAATTTAAAGGGATACTTTTGATGATATTTATTGATTTACTTTATAGTTTTGTTATAACATATTAAAAATTGTTTGATTGGTACCTTTTTATAATTAGGTAGAAGAATATGGTGTCGATGATTATCCCAAACCTATATTTTATTTGAATGGGGAAAGATTTGGTTTTTTTCTCTTTCTTTAAGTGGAGTATAGAATTTCAAGAAAAGGAATGTGAAGATTGATAAGTAGTTTATGGGTTAAAAGTGCATATTACTATTAGTAACATATTTTCGATTACTTACTATTTTTTGTAACATAATAAGATAATATAGCTGTGCCAAATTTTAGTATATCCATTACAATTATTATATTTTTTGTAAAAGAATTACATGTACATCTTTTGGGGGTGATCCTTAGCATGCTACAACCATACCGGGCAGAATTAGAAAAAAAAAAAAAATTAAAAAATTTAGTATGCAAGCATGTTTTATATTGTTTATATAGAAGTTTATTTTTTTATGTCTTATAAAATAAATTAACTAAATCATATCTTTGTATTTCTCATTAATATTTTACAATTTATTTATTTGAAGGCAAGTGCCCATGATGTGGTCTCAAACCCAACCCAACCCCATTACCACAAAACGTGGCCCAACCCAACCCCATCTTATCCCACCAATGTTTCACAACACTAATAACCTTTGAGACTAAAGAGTCAACCAAGTTGTGTAACCTCATTTGCGACATTCATGTATTCTATTTTTTCTATTTATTTATTATATTTGAAGAGTTACTACACTTTTTCTATTCTTATTTTAGATATTTTTCGACGTTTTTTTTTCCTGTTACAATTTTCTATTATTATTTTGGAGGGCCATTCGCTTCAATTTAATTTCGGTTGTTTCTTTCTTTTTCGTATTTTCGTGAAACGGAAAGAAAAGGTTTAAAAACGTATTTAATTCATAGATTTATGCATGTGTTATTAAGAGAAAGGAAAGGAAATGATTCCCGAAAATGGGGTGGGATTCACTTCCGGAAAAATCTATAAAAGTTGGGAGCACCTACAAAGTGGGACCATTACACAGAAAATCCTACTGGGCCATTCACAAAAGTAATGAAAAGCTTGTTTAATGTTTATACAAAAAGATAGAGTTTAAATATGCAAAATTTTAAGATTAAACTTTAAAAATGCTTTTGTGTATCTTGTTATATTTGGTTTTTTTTTTCAGAAAATATTAATAGTTTCTTTTTGAACGGCTGAATATTATACAAATTAGCAGAAGTTAGTAAAAAGACAATATATTCCTAAGTGATAGTCAAGATACGTCATTGCAAATGCTCAATTCAATTAACTTTAAGTATACTAAATCTTTAAACTAACAAATTTAAAAGAAAAAAAAAGACAGTTCTATCAAATATCATGTTTTTATGAACTTTAAACACTTCTCTCGTTTGCAACTTTTGATGATCACGGCCGCACTTGTACCTGTAACAAATCTTCCACCTCGTCTTCAGTGTTGTGCCAAGCATTTGAAACTAAAATCAATATGTTTATTCTTTTGTGAATTTGTCTTGTAAAATGACGTAATTTGTTCGCAATTTCATGATTTCCATACTTCCTTTGTAACGTTGATTAGCATTTCTGAAAATGATTAGAAAATTCATGAATTATCGAGATGATACGATTAAAATTAAATACTTAAATCTAGGCTCATGTCATTTGAATATGGTGGTGGTGCATGGCAGTTTTAGATGGTGGTGTTGAAAGATGGTTTGAGGTGGTGGTGCGTGTGAGAAAAGAATATAAACTAATAAGTTAAATAAAAAACAAAATACAAATATATAAATAACAAAAAAGGATAAAATATCATTTTATCAATTACTTAACGATAACCGTCTAGCAAAGTTAGTACTACTGTCGGAAGTTAATGGATTTTAAAATCATAATATCAAGTTTTTATTTATTTATTAATAAATTTATGTGATTAGGACCATTAGGTCCATAAATAAGCTTTTAGAAAATCTCATAATATGTTTGTTACATATTTAGGTTTGTAGATTGTGTACGAGGTGGCAACAACAAGGTTATTGAAAAAGCTCATTCCTTATTGATGCTAATAATTAAATCACTAATAACTTTATAACATTCATATCTATTGTTCACATGATGACACGAATCAACTAAATACATGTACTCACAAATCAGGCTCTCCTTATTTATTAGGTTAATGGTGTAATTGGTGGGATATGGTCCAGACCCACCAACACATACATACAAATACAATCAATTCGCATTGTTGGCTTGGTGAAAGCAAAGCAGAAAGCGGCCCCTCTTTTGACTTTTTTTTTTCTTCTATTATATAAAAAAGTCAACCCTAAATCAGCATAAACTGTTACACTGTGATTCCATTAGTCCCGACACACCACCATACGTCTCTCTATATATATAACCCATATACAAATTAACTCATACACCGTCACCCATCCTTTCTCTCTCTACAAATTAAGTCAGCGCCACCACCGGCCGGTGGACTCTCTCCTCCTTTTCCGGAGAAAGTGTTGTATTATTATATATGTACGTGAGTTGAATAACTAGTTCTAGTTGTTAATTCTCATTTCTATTATTTCTTGTTAATATGGATGGCGAGTGGGATTTGCATGCGGTGGTGAGGAGCTGCGCCACCACAACCACGGCAGACGTGAAGAATACCACCGTCGAGGATTACGATGATGGTTCTTATAACTTGGAAAGTTTAGCTTCTGGGAACGAGGAGAGAAACACTTTTGTATATCCGAGTTTTGCTAACGTTTCCGGAGGATTGGAGGATGTTTACAAGGCAGGGTGTGGTCAGCCGGCCGGCGCAAAACCGGCGACCTCCGCAGCCATTGATCTCGATATTGTAGAAGGATTTGTTCACGAACAACTCCCGATGTTGACAGATTCTCATTCCTTTTCCATGCACACCATGAGTTCTCAGTCCACGCGCACCCGAAAAAGGTAGTTATTTACATACTGAAAATGATCACTCTAATTATTCCATTTTTATTATATTCTACTTGTATTCCTTATTTACATCCTTTTTATTGTAAATTAGGTTTTCACTTAATTTTAACCATGATATTAGTTATTTTTAGAGGTGGTAATTATTAAATCACAAGGTGTAATTTACATCTAGCATAATAAGGAGACTGATGCTCGATTTATAACATGAGATCGATGTCATATATATGACGACAATTAGTATTAAATCTATAATTTATATATTATTTAGTTAAACAATGGGATATATTTTTGTAATTAAATGTTGCAACAAAATTTACGTTTGTAGGAAGAACCAGGAGAAGAGGGTGTTTCAATTGACGCAAGAGGAGTTGAGCAATGATGTGTGGGCTTGGAGGAAATATGGTCAAAAACCCATCAAAGGCTCCCCCTTTCCCAGGTTCTCTTCATCTATTACACCCCGTTCCCGAGTTCAATTTAAAGAGAGAAAAGAAAGGAAATGGGTGGAAGTGGGAGGAAAGTAAGAGAAATTGGTGTTCCCGAGTTTCATTAAAGGAGGGAAGTGGAAGGAAATGGAGGGATCACTTTCCCTCATAACTTTCCTTCCGATTTGGAAGGATTTGGAGAGAAAAAACAAAATGTTTAACTTTCCTTCCATTTCTCTCCAACTGGGGAACACAAAACACAAATTTCTTTTCCTTTCTCTTCTCTTCTTTTCTCTCCTTACTTTCTTTTCTCTACTAGAACTCGGGAACGGGGTGTTACTATTTCCGTTATTGGTTTTTTAATGTTCCATTTATACGAATAAATACACAATTTCGATGGATTTTTATTAATTGTTTAATTTGTGTTTTGGAAAATAAAGAAATTATTACAGGTGTAGCACAACGAAAGCCTGTGGGGCAAAGAAACAAGTGGAGCGGAGCCCTGTGGACGCAACCATCTTCATAGTTTCATACTCCGGCGAACACATTCACCCTAGACCCACTCACCGGAGTTCTCTCGCCGGCAGTACCAGGAGCAACAAATTCAATACAGACAAACCGCCTGTCTCTGGCAACACTTCCTCAGCTGTTCTTGAACACCCTCCCTCCTCTTCCCCTTCTCCGGCGTATGCTTCAAACTTTTCTCCTACAACGTCTTCTAAGGAAGACGAATGTGAAATCAACGAGGAAGACGAATACGACGAAGACATCCTCGTTCCGAATACTGTTATGAATGACGAAATATTAAAAAGGTTCCGAGATCTGAGCGGTGGCGGCGGTAGCAGTGGAGGCGGTGCTAACTTTTAATCTAATCCTTTACCACCAGGTTCGATCGATGGAGGAGAGTGACGACTGCTCAATTGGAAAAATTGACTTTCAACTTAAAAAGGTCCTATTAAATAATAGCTTACTTTTATCATATTTAAAAAATAACTTTTGAAGAGATTTTATTTTCATACAAACAATAAGGATTTTAGAAAGGGTTAAACGCAAATTTCTTTATTCATATTTCACCTTTTTCAATTTATGCAATGAATTATTATTTTTCACCGACTCTCAACATTCTGTAACATTATAATGTTATCTACTTATATGTAACGTCCTCTTGGGAATTTTGTAGTCTAAATATATATGTAAAATATTAGTAAGGTTAAGTAATCACAATTAGATCGTCACTGTTGTATGAGAATCTCTGGCACTCTTGATATATGAAACTATGCTCAATAGTATTATTAACGTGCTTAATTAATAACATCATTCCCCAATAGAAGCCGATAAACATCATCATTGATTCACTGAGTATAGAAGGGTGATAGTGAAACATCCATAAAAATACAAGCCAAAAATTTCGTTTGAAAATATTACTAAAACTATAACATCCAAATATCATATAAGAAAGCCATAAGTCGTGTGTCACAAAATGTCATAAAATATGTTTCATATCAAAACTGATGTCAAGATTATGTCAAAAATATCAGAGTCTAACTCCCAGACTAAAACTGTGGTGTGTGTCATGTTATCGTCATGAGATCTTCCGTTTGCTAGCTGAAGTACCTGAAACCAAAATTGAAACTGTAAGCACTAAGCTTCGTGAGCTCCTCCAAACTACCACATACCATGCAATAACATATAAATCACATATTGGGCCTTGCCCACTGAATCAGACCGAAGCTCGGAACTAACTAGGGCCTTGCCTACTGCATCGGACCGTAGTCCGGACCTAACTAGGGTCTCGCCCTCTGCATCGGACCGGAATCCAGAACTGACTAAGGCCTTGCCTACTATATCGGACCGAAGTCTGGAACTAACTAGGGCCTTGCCCACTGCATCAGACTGGAGTCTGGAACTAACTAAACATAGCATAACATAATCATAACATATAACAATAACACATATACTGCATACTACATCGGACCGCAACCCGGAAGACATAACACATAGACATACCTGAATCACAAAGACATCAACCATACTGAACTACTGCTATCTAAACGGGCCAGCATTATGGCTGTAGACCCGTTCCTACTGGAAGGAAACTCACCTCGAAGAACTGACTGAGCAGTTTAGGCTGCTCCCCCGACTATCATGACCAAATAAAACACTTAGTCAGAAAAAGGATCCTTCTATGGGTAAAATGATTATTTTACCCCTGTTATGGTGTGGGTCATAACCAAGGCCCAAACCATTTAATTCTTTCTAAGTCCACTAATGGCCCAATTTTCTACATTGGGTCCCAAATTCATTTATTAGGCCTTACCCTAAGCCCATTTATTAGGCCTTACCCTAAGCCCAATTCTGAGTCAGACGCTACAAACTCAGATCCAAGTGTTATTCCATGTCTTAAACCATAAAGTTGCTTACTTGATGGCTTGCATGACTCACATAAGCTTAAACTCTAAAAACAATAATCTATCTCCATGGAAATGGCTAGGTCTCATGCATGGCTTCATGAAAGCCTTAAAGATTGAAACTTTATTGCTAAAAAAGAGTTTTGAGCCTCAAGGATGGCAATCCAAGCTTAAGAACGGGTTTACATGATCAAGATCCAACCTTTGGACCTAAAGAGGTCCAAAACTCCCATAACCCTAGATCTAGAATGTGAGGAAGAGAGTTAAGTGCTTTATACCTTCTTCTTATGACAAAGGGTGAGTTTAGTCCAGATCCTTGAGCTCAAGCTTCTTCTCCAACCTTTCCTTTCCTTCTTCACCACCTTCTTTCACTAAATACACTCATAAAAAGCAATTTCACACAATAAAGAGGGTAAGAACGTATTAGGGTTTTCTTGTGGGTGAGGAGGCCGATAAGAAACCAGGGGGGCCTATAATGGGGTTTATATACCTCTTAAACCCTGAAATTAGGGTTTGGTGTCTGCTCGCGTACGCTTCTCATGTCCCGCGCACCTAAAGTCACTAGGCCCCGCGTACGCCGGGTTACGCCCCGCATACGACTTATGGGCAGCCTACATCTCGGCCCAAGATTCCTAAAGTCCAATTCAAAATGCCAAGTCCAACTATAGTCCTATATCTTTTTAAGTTGCATAATTGATTAATTAATACGTTGAGAGACGGATGTTACAGATAGGATAACACCAATATTTGTTAGATAACACATAATATAACAATACCAACTATCAAGTAGTCTAACTTGGAGTTTCTAACCATGTTGTTCTGTGTTCAATTCCAGACATATACTAACTCGCTGTTCAAAAAAAGAAAAAAAAAACTAACATTTTTTCGTTCGTAATCATTAGATTTTCCTAAGTTAATCCCTAGTGTATGAAACCAGGTATGGACCCTACCTGGTTATGTGATTGAAATTAAGTCATGAAAGTGACTATACTATGGGGGTAATGATATGATTTCATCCCAAGATGTTAGAATTGAGAGCAATTAGCCGGTGAGTGTTGTGCCCTAAGTTATCCCATATATATATATGACATAATGAGTTTTAGACAAAATGACATTATTTAAGCAGTTGATCAACAAAGTTCCTTGCCTTTTGATGAATGTTTTTTCATAAAAACGAGGAAATAAATTGAATGAACTTACAATAAACCGTTAATGACTTGTAAGGGTAATAAACTTTTCATTATATACATATTTATACTAATATGACTGGACATTTTAAGTTAATGCTTATTTGGTTGGCATTTAAGTTGGCATCTCCGACTATCGTTGATATCTCTATCAAGAATCTAGTAATCTTCTTGGTGTGTTCAAGAATAAACCAAAATTTATGGTGGGTTTTGTTAAGAACTCAAAAAGAATTGAGGTTCAAACCTATGTATGTTTTTTAAATCTCAAATCTCATAAGTTTTCTTATGAACTCAAGAAAACTTCAGTACCTAAGATCTTGAGCATATGGACCGGGGAACCGGCCGGAACTAGTACTGGAACCGAAACCCGATGGAACCGATCGGGCTGGGATCGGGATGTTATTTTTGTGGATTTTTGGAACCGGAAACCGGTAGGAACTGGAACTGATATAACCGAAACCGGTAGAATCGACAAAAACCGGTAGAACCGGTAAAAACCGGAACTGTATGATGCTATTTTTCGAGGATTGATTCCAACATTTGAAGACACGATAAGAACCGGAACCGATAGAACCGTCGGACCGGTTCGGTTCTTAATTTTGGCCGAAGCCGGTTCCCGGTTCCGACCGATTCGATCCTTTTGCTCATCCCTAGATATATGGGTTCCAATCATATTTGTGTTCTTGGTGAAACCCTCTTCACACACTTAATGACAACACACACATCATATTTTCTGGCTTCTAATCATAATTTTGTTTTTGAGTGAAACCACACGTACGCACACACACATCATATTTCTAGGTTCCAATCAAATTTACATTCTTGAGTGAAACCTTCTTCATACACATATGAACCTAAACAGTCCATCTTCACACGGTATTCATGTTCATGTGTTGGGAGAAAGAGGGATATGGAGAAAGAATCGAGATTTGTGGTATTGAGAATGAAGAAGACAACATGTATATATATATATATATATATATATATATATATATATATATATATATATATATATATATATATACATACACACACAGAGAGAGAGTCGTTAGAAAATTTATGTTGACAAAAAAATGCCATAGTCCTATAATACTTGATCAAAATGATGTTTCATAAATAAAATTGACTGTTTAATGGTAAAAGTATCTGAAAAAACTTAAATAGCTGAATATAGACAAAAAAAAAAAAAAAAAAAAATCCTTACAATTCATTAACCATACATTTAAATAAGTGAAAACAAATGGGGTTAAAACTAAATTTAAATATTTGACATAATTAATCGGGCTTGATTTGGGCTTGCAACATCTATAGATTATTGAACTGACTTAACGGCAACGGGTTTCAGAGAAGAGACTACTCCCAGTCCCACATATACCAAACGGAAGTGATCGGAGAGAGCGCCGGGGAGAGAGAGGGAGAGATGTTTCTTCGGAGGTTTGCACGGCCGTCGTCACTGATGATGATGGCCAAAGTGAAGGAAACAACGGGGATCGTCGGTCTCGAGGTGGTCCCGAACGCTAGGGAGGTACTAATCGGTCTGTATGATAAAACCCTAAAGGAGATTCAGCGTGTACCTGAAGACGAAGGTTACCGCAAAGCCGTCGAGAGTTTCACGCGCCACCGTCTCAAGGTCTGCAAAAAGGAAGAAGATTGGGAGGCTATCGAGAAACGACTCGGTTGTGGTCAAGTTGAAGAACTTATAGAAGAGGCTCAGGATGAGCTGAAACTCATCGACAAAATGATCGGTTCGTCCCATCTCTTACTCTCTCTTCCGTTTTTGTTGTCAATCTGGATCTTTCAGTCACATATTAGCTTGGATGAGTTGGAATTGAAATAATTCGGTTGGTCATTTCGGATTTTTTAAAGGTATAAAGTATAAACACATCAAGTGTAACACTTCCACTTACAGATTCACCTCCCGAACTCGGAAGAACTATTAAACCGAGATTACAAATCCCCTAGCATCAAGTGAGTGAGGGGTAGTGTTTGGATCATAAAATTTACGGTTTCGAAGTGAAATTGAAGCTTTTTTAGTTCAATATATTGACTCGATTTCCTTCAATTCTGTTATACAGAGTACATCAAGTGATTGGTTGTTGGATAATCAGGGATTAGAAGTATGTGTCTATGTATTAAAAATGGATGCAAGTTCTAGTTTTGTATATTTTGTGAGATCTTTCAAACAAATTTACCAATTTGAGATGTTTGTTTGTTTGTGTTGGATTTTAGAGTGGGACCCATGGGGCGTACCTGATGAGTATGAATGTGAAGTAGTGGAAAACGATGCCCCGGTTCCAAAACACGTGCCATTACACCGGCCTGGTCCTCTTCCTGAAGAGTTCTACAAGACGCTTGAAGCTGCCATGGCTGGAACTCCTAAAAAAGATGAACCTGCAATCCCCTCCTCAGGTTCACAATCACACCATGTACTATGAATAATCAATATATATATATATATATATATATATATATATATATATATATATATATATATATATATATATATATATATATATATATATATATATTTTTTGACATTTGCATGATATTATCTGCCAATTACACACTCGTTAAAATAAGCCTAACATTCATTCTGGCTTTCCAGCGATTTGGCTTATTGTTATTTGTTCATGGGCTCAAAATCATCTTCACGTTGGCTATTTTCTTGTGTTTGTTGTAGCAAATAAAAATGTGGAACATAGTTTGACCCTGTTGACTGAACAAATGGATTTACTAATTGCTAGAATACAATTTACTTTGAAACATTGTTGATGATAGGATTATTTTATTTATATCCTGAAAACCCAAAATTCTATTAACGCAAAAAATATATAAATAAAGTAACCTAGAGCTTCTCTTTACAGTAATGATCAACGAAAATTAAGTAAGGCATATTTACCTTTGTAGAATAGTCTTGCATTTGTTTTGTTGATTTGCTTGTAGAAGTCACAAACTAGGCTGTGTTTGAGAGATTAACTAGCCATAGATAAAAGCTAGTTGCTAGCGAAATGTACAATAAAAGGAAGAATGATTCAAATATAAGATTAAATGGGTGCTACATTTTATCAAATTAAGTCAATTTTACAATTGGTCTCTTTACAAAAAGTCGTATGATAATGAGTAATGACAAGTTGACAACTATCAAAAATGTTATGCATTTAAGTGATGTTTGTTTTTTATCTGCACATCTGCATGACTTCTTTTATCTGCGCCGCGCAGACCACGCGCAGACATTAGCCTTCACAGACTGTTTGTTTTTTTTTAAGACTGCAGATCTAAAAATGTCTGCGCGTCCTCTTTTTGGCGCAGATATGGACCAGAGTCTTCTAATGATAAACAATTTGAAAAAAAAAAATACAAAAATTAAAAAAAAAAAACGTTCGACGTTACAAACATGATCTTTTTAACAAATTTATAAATAAAAAAATTATTACAATAATAGTCGTTTGAAGTTGTTTATATAAATATGAAAAAAATATCATAATATATTCTTATATTTTTTGCCAGATTTTATAAAACATTATTTAATACAGTATCGTTAATTTCTTGAGAAAATATTTATGGTACGTTTTTAATGGATTTCACTGAAAAAGTTGAAGTTTATTTCCATCCATTTATGTATCAAATTCTTTGATCACTAATTATAATGTTTAGTTATAACGTTGCAAACAAAGTTGTTGCTTTTTATCAAATATATACGTTAATTCATACCATTTTTATTTTTATTTTTTATATAATAATACATAAAAGTTGTTCAAGATTCGTTAATTATTTATAACAAAGTCATAAAAATATTAAAAAATCACTTTGAAGTTTAAAAAAACCAGGTTATTTAAATTTCAGTTAATTTTGGTAACCCGCAGATGTTAAAAAAACAAACAATCTTCTTTTTTCAGACTGTAAACGTTTGATCCACCTCTTCTATTGCAGATATCTACAGATGTGGTCTGCAGATATTTTGCCTTAGAAAAAACAAACATCTTAATCTGTGTTTTAATTTCTTGCATGACGCGTCCTTAATGCATGTAAAATGATTTTTGTATCATTGTTTATTTATTTTATAATTTTTTTATTTAAAAGAAATAAATTAATTAATACATAAATGATAAAACCCACCTACACACCCAAATGTTGAATGATCGATTAGTTCTCTTTAAATTTTGTCATTTTGTTTACTATTTTTTAGAGCTGTCAAAATTAAACTACGGAAAACGAACCAACATGTTACCAACCGAACCAAGAAAGTTGGTAGCCAATATATTTGGTAGTCAACATGTTTGGTTGGTAGTACCGTACAATTGAGAAATATTGATCCTGTAATGGTACTGAAGTTTGAATATCATGGTAATACCGTACCTACCAATTCATTATATATATATATATATATATATATATATATATATATATATATATATATATATACAAAATTGTATATTTTAATTGTCAATTGTGTTTAGTATTTATAGTGTTAAGAATATTATATAAATCATTTGCTCGCATTATTTAATAGTTAACTTAGCTTTATTTCACTGGAATTTTTTGCAAATTAAAAAAAGTATGTAACTAATTTATTTACTAAAATTACCCGATGTATTTATTTATTTTTAACTCTTACAATAGAAAATTAAAAGAAGTTAGCATATATCATTATCAATTTGTACCAACCAAACTTATTGGTAGCCAAACATATTGGTACCAAATATATTTGGTACGGTATTGGTAACAAAAATTTTATATCAACTATAGTTGGTATGGTACGATTTAGGGAAAAAAAATGGTACCGTACGAATTCCACCCCTATTATTTTTCATCGCTTTTGTGTTTAATTTTTTATAAAGTAATCAATTTTGAAGTAAGGTTACTACATGTTTTTGTTTCAAAATTGGGTATTTGAGTGAGATTGTGTTCTAAAATAAACAACAATTTATTGATGAAAGTGTTTATTAGTTTGCGTAGCAGCAAAACAATTTTTTAGAAAAAAAAATATTTAGATTAGTTTATATGATGACAAAAAAACTAGAAGTGATATTTGTTTGACAAAGCGTTGTAATTAAATAAAAAAGAGGAGGAAAGACAAATTAAGCATAAAATCCATGTATTTATTTATAGTCATTCATCACCCAAAAGGATCATGAATTTATCCATCTTCATGCAACTGAAATTTGGATATAGAGAAAAGTTAAGAGGGAACATGTTGCTGAAACGTTGCAAAACATGATTTTTTTTTTTTTATTTATTTATTTTTTTTTTATTTTTTTTTTTTATTTTATTTTTCTTAATAACTCACATATAGTCTTACATCTGAATTTTTATTTTTTTAATAAATTAAGAGGCTTTTATTTATATGCTACAAAAACCATGTTACAAAACTAGTTAGGCGTTCTCATAGCGGCCAACTGGTGCCTAACAAGTATTTGGTCTAGGCGGGGGAGTATTCTGGGAATACTTGGATTTGATATAATATATTATATGTAACATCCTAAAAATACATGCTAAAAATTTCACTTTTAAATACGTCATTATAAAACCAACAGTGTAATAAAACATTTGTAATGTCATGTCAAAACTAAAGTAGAATTAATTAAACATGTTATCATAAAACAATATCAGAGTGTAATCCCAAAGATCTCATGTGCGGAAAACCATAGTGTTATGAGCTGCGATCAAGCCGGCCCCTTTCCTTTAGACACGAAGTACCTGAAACCAAAACTGAAAACCGTAAGCACAAATCTTAGTGAGTTCCCCCATCATACCACATACCATACAATCATATCACATACATACTATCATACATTTCTGGAGTGCCTGACCTACCCGGTACGGCCATTCTGGGGTGCCGACCTACCCATGCGGTCATTCTGGGGTGCCGTCCTTCCCATGTCAAGCCATTATGGGGCGCTGACCTACCCATGTCGAGCTATTCTGGGGTGCTGACTAACCTTCGGTCCTAACAACCGAACCTCGGGGACTATTTCACCCATACTACTACTATCACATATAACATAACACAAACATAATATCAGACATATCTGGGGTGCCTGAACTACTCTTCGGTCCTAACAACCGAACTCGGGGACTAGTCCCCTCCTACTACCTCTATCACATATAACATAACAAGCTAACATGCTAACATATCATCACATACTGTCAGATGTATCTGGGGTGTCTGACTTCTTTGATCCACTGCTAGTACTAGTACATCTGAGAATTATTAATTGGATAGTTGTAAATAGCCCCAAGGCTATGGAACAAAGGAGTATCCCAGGCCTACACTGAGGTGTTGACGGTGATTTTCAAATCTCCTCAAGTAGGATTCGAACCTACGACCAATCGGTTAACAGCCGACCGCTCTACCACTAAGCTACTGAGGAACAACGCCCTTCGGTCCTAACAACCGAACTCTACTACTATCACATACAACATATCATGCTAGCATATAACATATCAGGTAGCAGCAAACCTAGATGATATCACAAAGACAATCATCTATCATACATCTCCTACTGGTGGGCCGACATTGTGGCCTTAGACCCACCGCTACTGGAAGGTAACTCACCTCACACTGCTGAAGTCCCGAAGACACAATCCTACACTTGTTGAAGTCTTGCAGACTCGACCCCAGCTGCTGGCTGACAGATTCCCGAACTGTCGACACCAAAATAACACCCAATTAATAATTGGGTCCTAAAACATAACCATATGTACATTCTTTGGGTAATTACTATATTACCCCTAGCTTAGCTTATTCAAGCCCAAGGCCAAATCCATAGGCCCAAAGTCGACTAGGAATCGAAACCCAACGCATAGCCCAATTTTCCAAATTGGGCCTAGGCCTATACATGATCTCATTCTAAGGCCCAACCAAAAGTCCAGTCCAACCTTTGATAGTCTAATGGTCCAATATCATATAATCATTAAGGCCCAAGCTATAGCCCATTTATGGCCTAATTTTCCAAATTGGGCCCAACCCCTTACATGGGACCCATTAAATTATTTTAGTCCATATAATTATTCTTGGATGGCCCATTAATAATCCAATCATCAAGGCCCAATAGAAAGGCCCAACAATAAACCCAAGTGAAGTTAGGGTTTTACATAAAATGTCGATTAAGGTTAAGGACTTAATCCATTAAATCCATTCTTCTAAATAAGTCATATGGTGTGATTGGGCTTAATCACACAATTTCATTCCAATGGCCCAAATGTGGATCCTAACAAGTCCAAGCCCATAATCCCAAATTAGAGTTTTCACATGAAATGAAGATTAAGGTTCAATAGAAAGGCCCAACAATAAACCCAAGTGAAGTTCACCCCATGGAAATCCGGCGCACCACTGCCCCTGAAGTCCTTGAAGGACAGTGTGCGAGATCCTGACTGGCTAGAGGCTAAATCGCTCCTGAATGCCCGTAGGCGATCCTCCATCAACTCCAGGATC